CTTTCGTAAGACATAGAGAATGTGGAAATGAAAACAACATAATCCCTGCTTTCAAAAACATTTCGGCTTAGTACAAAGCACCTACTATATAATCTTACTTTTTTTTGAATATTAGTAAACAGCAGCATGAAACCAGTTGCCAATATGGACAAGTAGATTCCTTTGTGTGTGTAAGACAGAAATACATTCCGAGAAGAAAATAAATGTTCATGCGAAGTAAATGGTGATTGCAGCCTATCTTTCTTCACTAAATACACGTTAAATGGATTGCCAACTTCTGATGATTTGACTTAACAAGCTTCCAAGTTTCCAAAGACCTGAAAATGATAGTCAGTCAGTGGAAATGAAACATAAAATTGTGATTTTTGACCTTTTCCTGGGCTAGCAACAGGAGGTTCACTACTTTCTGGTGATACTGGATAATGGCCAGGTCAGCCCTGCAACCGCAAGAGGAAGTGACCAGAATTCCATGATGTGCCATGTGGCTGAGCTAGCATGTGGATTAAGTTAGGTACATTAAATGTGTTTTCTACTTACAAAAAGTCAAAGAGTGTCTGTTGATGTGGCCAGGTTTAATACTTAAATAATCAGAAGTTTTTAGTTTCTTATTTTGCTTGAAGATGTTTGGCTAACTTAATTTTCTGGACTTAACTCTAACAGAGACTTTTAGATCAAATTTATTTAAATTGTCTAAAATTCTCCAGGATCTGAATTTAAAATACGTACTGAAAATTGCCATTTTTTTATCTACAGCTATGGTCAGAATTATTCTCTTAGTTTAGCTTGATAGGAAAGCTGCTTTGTGGAAGAATTTTCATGATTAGAAATGGTACCCAGGCCATCTGGTGCAAGCAAGCAAAGCAACAATCTTACAACCTACTATGAATCCCTTAATATAAGCCCATTTGCATTGCATCATATAATTCCCACTACATGTATATATCACTCAATTTTTAAATTTTTCTTTATTAATGTCATTCATGACATCCACACTGAGTATTTTAAGTGATACGCCATATTTTTTTCCTGGTGTGAATAAATCCATGGTATAGACTTGAATTTTTTGGTCAAAATATTATAAAACCTGTTAATCAATTAACTTACTGTGGTTGGTTAAGGCATTGCTCTAGGTTAGATTTATGATATTGGGTCTGCAGAAACTATAAAAGAAACCCCAAATTTAGCACATTACAAAAACATTTCTCATGATACAAATTGTGCTTAATTTGAATTTATTTTTATTCTTGACGGATTTATTGATAAGATTAGGTTCTCATGATCACAGCAAATGAATGATGATTATTGTAACAAAATGATCATCAATTCTCATGTCAATGTGATATTACTACAAAGAGAACAGATTCACTATAGTCATTAGACTCAATTCTAAAAAAGAAGTTGTATCTTAACTGTTAAAAAACACCTTGAAAAATCAACACTTTGTATCATCTCAGATAGTTGCATAAGTTTATTTCTGCTTATTTATAATAAACCTCCCTATTTTTTTTAAAGATTTATTTTTATTATTTTTTTATTGGAAAGGCAGATATACAGAGAGGAGAGACAGAGAGGAAGATCTTCCGTCCAATGATTCACTCCCCAAGTGAGAGCAACGGCCAATACTATGCCAATCCGAAGCCAGGAGCCTCTTCCGGGTCTCCCACGCGGGTGCAGGGTCCCAAAGCCTTGGTCCGTCCTCAACTGCTTTCCCGGGCCACAGGCAGGGAGCTGGGGCTGCTGGGATAGAACCAGCGCCCATATGGGATCCCAGGCGTGCAAGGCAAGGACCTTAACCATTTGTGCCATCGTGCCGGGCCCAACCTTCCTATTTTTAAGAGATGTATTTATTTTTATTTGAAAGATTTAGAGGAAAGACAGAGAGAGATCGTCTATCTGTTGGCTTACTCCCCAAATGTCCACAACAGGTGAGATTGAGTTGACCAGAAACCAGGAGCCAGGAGACTCTTCTGGGCCCCCAGTGCATCCTCTGCTGATTTACCAGGCCATAAGCTGGAAATCAAAGCACAAGTGGAGCAGCCGGGAATAGGGATACTGGGTTACTGGAATAGGAATATATGGGATACTGGCACCACACATCCAAGACTTAGCTGGCTGAATTACTGAGCTGGCCCTATCACTTTTTCTTTCTTTCTCCTTTTTTTTTTTTTTAAAGTTTTTAATTGAAACACAAAGTTACAAAGAAGGAGAAAGAGAGAGAAAACTAGACATATCTTCCATCAACTGATTCTCTCCTTATGTGGCCATCGCAGTCTGAGCTGGATCCGGCCAATGCAGTAGCCAGAATCTTCATCTGGGTCTCCCATATGGATCTCCCATTGGGGCTCAAGTACTTGGGCCATTGTCTACTGCTTTACTGGGCACATAAATTGGAAACTGGATCAGAAAGAGAAGAGCCAGGACTTGAATCAGCACCTGTATGACATGCTGCTGTTCAGTGGCTGCTTGATCTGTTATGCCAAGACACTTGCACTGATTATCTTAAACAAACACAAAGGGTGTTTGCCCAGAAATTTAAAAATACGTATAAACACCAATACTTCTCCTACACACACACCACTCAGCAGTTACCTCAGCTTTTTTGACTTAAGAATATGGATGTGCTCTTTCTCATATTATTTTTATCAATTTATAGTAAAATAATCAGTAAAAAAAAAAAAAGGATCCATGCTGTGGCAAAGCAGGATAATGAATTTCCATATTCTAGCCTCTCTGTAGAGTCTTTCTGCAGGATATGAGCTATAGAAATACTTATTTTACTTTATGGAAAAGGAGGAGGTGATATACTATTATTTAATATCTTGCAACCTTTGTTTTAAAAGAAAATAAGCTTTACGTTTTCCGAACAATCCCTGGAAGGCCTTTTAAATTTGTCAACTCAAATAAATGCAGATAGCATATGTATTCACTTATTTTATATAGCTAAACGTATTACCAGTAGGAAAAAAATGCAATTGACCCCCTTGCCTTTACAGATAATAAAAATGAAAAACAACAGCTCACCTTCTATAGAAGCGAGTGCTGTGTTTAGTGGAGCCTCATTGATTATTACTTCTGCGCTTCATCACATATGGCAGTAAGTGCTTTAGAAGGAATCACAGATGGATAAGGCCTTCACAATATCAGTCTCACGCTGAAGGATCCGTCAATATTCCAGTTCCTCCTCCCTCGGCCTTTCTGAGCCATGTTTATTTAACCAGGCTTGAACATTCTTGCATATTGACAAAAGGAGCTGAAATGAAGAGAGGCAAGAATATACTTTAAGAAGCTGACAGTATGGGTTCTTGTTGTTGAACCCAGAGGAAAAGAAAAACTTGAAATGATGCTCTGACATACACACACACAAAAAAGAAAAATTAGGAAGATGTAAGGAGGTAGAGTGAGAAAGAAAGCTAGCTTCAAGAAATATCAGTGATGCTCCCGTGTCTGCAAGTTACTATAGTGGAGCAGCTCTGAGAGCTGATTTTGTCTGTGATGCAAGGGAGGCCAATTATTATTGCAAAACAGACTGAGAGACCGAGCATCCCTGCTTTGTGATGGTGCTGCAAGGAGCTGGATGGAGAAAGCCCCAAGCCGGGTTTCTCAGTGTACAAATGTGCGTTTTCACAGCCGCTGTCTTCTGAGACAGGAGCACACTGAATGAGAGATGAAATGAACGTCAGGCTGGCGTCTAAATGACCATTCTGTAAGTGCAGACATGCAATCTGTATTTGCTACTGTATAAATGTACTTTGGAAGAAAACTTGTAAAAGTTTTAATTTTGCCCTCCAAATTTAAATTTTCCATATTAGGCTATGCTACGTAATATAAGAAATTAATAATAGGGTGGTTCTCCTCTGTTGCTCATAGGAAGAATCAGACTTCAATAACTTATATTAAAAACACTCTTCTGAGCTCAACACTTGTAAAACATGCCAGTAAGCTTTCTGAAAAGGCATTTGCATCATTTTTGTTTCTGTGATCATACAGAATTAAAATGAGAGAAAAAATATATTTCAGTGAACATAACTAACTCAAGAAGCTCCAGGATTTGTTCAGTCAAAGGTGTTAGATACCAGGGAGTAAGCCCTATAAAGGCTTGTCCTGCATTAAAAGTGAGACCATTGGGCCTGGTGCAATCCTCACCTTGCATGCACCAGGACCCCATATAGGTGCCATTTCATATTCCAGCTCCTCTACATCCCATCCAGCTCCTAGCTTGTGGCCTGGGAAAGCAGTAGAGAATGGCCCAAAGCCTTGAGACTCTACACCTGCAAGGGAGACTCAGAAGAAGCTTCTGGCTTCTTAGTTCAGCAATGGTGTACGGCTGCTTGGGGAGTGAGCAAGTACATAGCAGACCTTTCTGTATCTCCTCCTTTCTGTAGGCTTGCCTTTCCAATTAAAAAATATATAAGTCTTTTTAATAAGATCATCCTTTTCATAATTATACCTAGTACTAGTCAGGAAAATAGACGTACTTGCAGTCAGAGTGGTGCGCCATGGGAAGCACGGAGCACACATTCAACTTCCACCCTGGCTTCCTGACGGACTGACCTGGTACGTCATTGTGTGGATTCTAATCCCATTGCTGTGTGTAATTCTCAGTATGATTTAGATTTGGGGGCTGATAAAATGAATGAGTGTTTTACCTATTAACATCTTTGAAAAGAGCAGTGCATATTGGATATTTAACATCAATATCCTCAAGTCATGTTTCCAGTACCCCTCGTCAGCGCAACCTAAAGGATTTTAGCTAAATCTTTGAATCTTATGCTTTCCAGCTAGTTTGGTGGTTTGGATTTTGAGTGAAGAAAGCCTGAGTTCCTGTATTTTCTACCGTGTAACCAGAACAACTTATCTATCCTGCTGCCGGGCCCGTGGCAGACAGCTGAAAACACTTAATTAGCTCCTTTATGAATCGGGGTTGTCAAATGTGTAACAGGTGAAGTGCAAGTTGTTGCAATGTTCTGACTTTTTTTTTTCACTTTCTCCTTGTTTATTAGATGATGACTTTTTTCATGAACTCCCAGAAACCTTTCCATCTGATCCACCTGAGCCTCTACCACACTTCCTTATTGAACCTGAGGAGGCTTATATTGTGAAGAACAAGCCGGTGAACCTGTACTGTAAAGCCAGCCCTGCCACCCAGATCTACTTCAAGTGCAACAGTGAATGGGTGCATCAGAAGGACCATATAGTAGACGAGAGAGTAGATGAAACATCTGGTGAGTTTGTCATTGCATTTGGATTGTATTTCGCTTTCTCACTATCCTGGCCTGCTGTCATATGTTCATTTCAATTAGTGTGATCAAAAATAGAGTTATTATCCTTTGGTAAATTGTTCTCAACCAGTTTTAGATTAAATTTAATGATATGGTTGCAAGTACTGCAAGCTACAATGTGAAGAATAAATCTTGGCCTGATTTTTGTCATTGAACAGAGTTCATAGCTAAGAAGATAGACTAGACTAGAAGACTCGATTAATGTGAAATTCCTTAGTAAAATATGTCCCAGATTCAGTAATGTGTTCATCAGTTCTAAGTAGCCAGCAATTTGGGGAGCATTTCAATTATGGATAAATTGTAGTTATTAACATCATCAGCAAGTGTTAATCCTATACATATGTTCCACTTATATAGGTTTAAATTATCCTATATCCCTAATTTGTATCCAAAAATGAATCTCGGCTTTCTAACATTGTCTGGGGTCAGGGACGTGAGTGTCCATTGTAGCCACTTTCTGGCTGAGTTCTGATCATAGCATCTTTGCCTCTGGTGTGGTTAAAACTGCTGACTTTATTGCTCTGTAAATATCACCTTAAAGATAAAATACGAATGGCATGGAAAGGCAAAAGGAGATTCTAATAACCTGTGGGATTTAGGCAGGCTATAAAGTAAACTTTCTCAATAGCAATATTTTACTCCACGATGGATAACTTAGGAGAGTTTTGGAGTTCCTTTAAATTGGAAAGTTATTTATCTTTCTACGGTGGTTTAAGTGTTTTTTGCTTGCCAGCAGGGAGAATAATTCCTTGAACTTTCAGAACCCTTCCAAATCTATGATTTTACAGTATTGCAAAATATATTTTCAGCAATAAGACTTTATTGATCAACATTTCCAAGTAACATGATAACAAATAGGACAAAAATTGAAGTGTTTAAAAAGCTTTGTTGGTCTGGGTGTTTATCCTGGCAGTGAAAAGATCCAGTGGGGATTTGCATCTTGATTTAACACCTGACTCTGAGCTTCCTCCTCCTGTGGATCCCAGCAGCAGAAATGAGTCAAATAATTGGGTCCCTTACATCCACATGGGAGATCTTGGTTGCATTTCTGGGGCTCCCAGCATTAGCTTCAGTTGGAGCCTATGTTGGCATTTAAGGAATATACCAGCAGGTGGGAATTTTTGGAGTGCTTTGCTCTCTCTCAATAAATAAATAAATAAAAGTATAAATATATTAAATTTTAAAGCCTTTTAAAATCCTTTCTGTATATCTCTAGGTACCAAAGAAGATGCATGTTTTCAAAAATCAAAATTGTTGACTAAATCATTTAAGTGCCCAAAGTGTTGGGAAACCATCGGTGGTAAATAGAGGCCAGAATTTGAGGAATATCTATTTTCAATGTAATTACCAGCATAATTAATCCAACAAGGAAATAAACCATATAGAATTAATTAGACTAGAGAGAGAAGAGTGTATAGGGGACATCCGTGGTAAGAATAGTCTTGACAGTCAGGAGGCAATACAACCTAATGACTTGTCGATCTGTGAGCTGATGTGTTCACTGAATACAAACTGATGGTTTGCAGAAATAACTGGATACCCAATGGTAGAATAATAGCTTACTTCACGGAATGGTCCCACCTCTTGTTCTAATTACCCAGAAAATTATCTACCAGATGTCTTCGAAATCTCAAGTGAATTCAGTTTTATTGGTTTCAGCTCATTTATTTGTAAAAATTTCAATCACATAAGCATTTTATAAGAGGAAACAGAAAGAAATCACAAAAGCTCAAATGACAGTGATAACGTATTTACTAAATCTTTGCTTACTAAATTAATGAAAATGCCTAGATGGGACAATTATAAATAAAAAAATAAAACTTGACTGATATGGAACACTTCTTCTAATCCTATGCTTCTATTATGTGTTTACACAAATCCACCTATTTCCTTCCTGTCAAGCATTTACATGTTGGATTTCTATACAAAATTGATTAAACATGAAATGCAATCTGTGGCACACTTTCTTTCAGATTCAGACTGGACAGAAGGAAACTAGCGGCAGACTCAGGAGCCCGTGTCCTGGCACAGTTCTCTTAAGATTCACAGATGGAGGGAATTGCAGTGTAGCTTTTGTCAGCTTTCGTTTTCAAGAAAGTCAGCATTCTGCCAAATGGTGGCCTGATCCAACAATCTAAGTACCACCTTTACTGTTGGAAAAGGCAAAGATAACCACAGAAACTATTATTAATGAGTGCAGCACTGTTAGACCACCCAGGAGCTATACAAACTGTTATGCAAGGGAAAGAAAAACCGTAACACCATACAGAAAAGTAGCTGAAAAGCATTGTATCACCTGTGAACATTTATACAAATTTACAATCCATTCAATTTTAACATAACAGAGTATATTAAGAATGACAGTGTACAACGGATAGGCATGAAATTACAGAATTTTGTGGAGTGTTTTAGAAAGAAAAACTTTTTAAAATCTACCCAAGAAACAAGTATATTTATAAACACAAATGCCCTCACATATAATGCCTTGTTTTGAATGCAAATGTTTATAAAATGTTTGCTATTCATAAATCTGAATAGTTACCAATATTATAGGCCAAATAATTTGTGAATAGCTGGCAGAATAATGAAATTGTAGTGGAAAAGGCTCACCTATTCATAAAGATATTATAAATCTAAGGATATAAAAAAAGATCAATCTTGGCAAAGACCAAAGCACATTAATCAGCTAATTGAAAGAGACACTAGAAAATACTCAAACATCTAAAACTTTCAGCATGCAGTAAAGACAATGTTGTCAACCAATGAGGAAGATTTGATTCAACACATGGATTCATAAATGAGATTGTTGGAATAAAAAAAACATTAAAAATGAGGCTTGCATTTAGTCTCACTGTACAGAATAAAATAAATTCTAGCTGTTAAGGCTTAAAGTCATCATCCTTGCTATCAACATTAGCATAATCACTCAGAGGAAAAAAATTGGAAAGCTGTTAGTTGACTGATTGGCTTCAGTGGTTGACAAACCTAATTAAAGCACAAAATATAGACAGTAGGAAAACATTGTTAAATTTTAGTATCTAAAATAAGAAAATCACAAATAAAGCCAAGAGATGGTTTTATTAATGTGATTTTAGTATCTGTAGGTACATATCAATGAATTGAGTAATTTGAATAATATACAAATACCTTGTAAATTATATTTAAGAAAAACATCATCAACCCAATAGAAAATTCAGGATATTTTGAGCATGAAGATATGGGAAAATAAATGCAAGTTGTAAGTAAACATCTAAAGAAATGTGATCAAATAAAAATATTTCTTAGTGTTTGATTAAAAGCAAACTTTGCTAATAGGGATATAATTTGGGAATCTGACTTGCAAGATTTATTTGAAAATGCCACTGATATCGAGATACCATTGAAGTGTTTCAAATCTAGTGTCTATCAAGAAATAAAATACTAAATCTGGTTGTGCAGGGACCGATCCTCTCTAGTGGGCATGCTCTTAAGTCAGTAAGATTGCACAGGTAAAACTGTATGTGAAAACTGAAGTACAGCACATTGTGTGGGATACGCATGCTGTTAAACAAGATGATACACACATACGTGTATCTGTACATGCCCTGGGGCTTCCTGGAGAAAGAGACTTACTTAGATCTCTTGGATGATAAAGAGACAGTTCATGTTTAGGGATTTTTTAAAATCCTGTGATTGTGGACTTTTATCTTCACATTTGTTTGCTCTTTTTTTTTTTTTTTTGAAGCTGGATTCACCGGCAGCTTTGGTCCTCAACTCTCCTTTGCAGACTAAATGTAGAATTGTTGGGTCTCAGTGGTTCTCAATAACGAAGAATGTTAGACTACATTTTGTCAAAATACATTGTAAAGGAGGAGTGAAAATTTTCTGGCATTTGTAAAATCAGACCGATTATCAGAACTTGAAATAGAAAAATCATTTCCATCAATGTCACCTTCACAAACGCTTCTGCCCTCCAAACTTGAAAGTATATGTAGTGGCAACCAGATGGATCAAAGGAATGAACAGACCTTGCATTTATTGATGCAACTAATTCTCTAAAATCTCTACCAAAAGCAACTGTCAATCAAAAGGCACAAAGCAGTAATATTGGACAAGTTCTTCCCCTACTCAAACTGTTCTTGCTTTTCAGGTCTGAGGCCTCTACGTGGGCTCTCTGACTTATCAAGTGAAGAGTAGATTATTGATGATTTATACTCACTGATAAAGCAATACTGTTGATAATTACAATATCTACTTTATTTAACTTTATGGTATATTTCCATAGGGTTTGGGAAACCCCTCCCTAAATTCATAAGGAGTCATGATTCCAGCAGTCTGTTATTTAAGAGTGCCCAGACATTGCTGGTACATACAATGTTAAACAGTCCAGCATCCCATTGTCTAGATATGTCCAACAGTTTCATTGAGAGTCCATCTTTTATTTGGAAGTAGAGATGCATATTGCATTGCATCTTCACATTTGGATATGGTAGCTCTACTACATCAATACTACACATTCCCTTAAATGAGCAGCCATGGAACAAAGTCAACAACTAGTATGAAGTTAATAAAACAACAACAAAATTACAGCACCATGAAGTCCAAAAAAGTGCACCACAGAAAAAGCAATGCATGGGTAATGAAAAGAAAACACAAAAGCAATTTGCATGATGGCTTCCTTGTATTAGAGAGAACATATGGTATTTGTCCTTTTGGAATTGACTTATTTCACTAAGCATAATGGCCTCTAGTTGGAAGCATCTAGTTGCAAATAGTATGATTTCATTCTTTTTAAATGGTTGAATGACATTCCCTGGAATCAATGTACCACAGTTTCTTTAGCCATTCCTCTTTGGACTGGCATCTGGATTATTTCCATGTCTTTGATATTGTGGATTTTGGTGCTCTAAATGCAAGATTACAGATTTCCTTCTTTTAAGCAGCTTTCATTTCATTTGAGTGCA